TAATTATCTTTGGTAAGTGGCTGCACAATTTAATCATCTACTGAATGGTCGCAAAGTCCTGCTACTTTTCGATAATGCTTCCAGTCACAAAGCCCGACGAGAAGTCAACAACGTTACTGTGTTCTTTTACCCACCTAGCATGACTTCCACTACCCAGCCACTCGATGCAGGTGCGCTAATCTGTCATGATTTAATATGCGCAATTTTAAATCTATATCAGTCTCCTCACCTACAGATATGGTTTATATATATTGTATTATTCGATCGTTGAAAGCTTGCTATAAGATACTTTACATGCGATGGCGCATGGATCAGGTAAAAGCACACATATAACACAGACTAAATGTACTAGAAGCCATAGAGCTTGCTGCAGAAATCTGGAATGGTTTTGGTGGAATGTTCACTTTAAGCTGCTTAACCAAAAGTGAGATCATCGAGCGCCACAGGTTGCGGATCTGCGTGCACAAAACTACTATCGATAGTCCAGCTTCGCCTTCCAACAAAACTGCTGCGATCTGGCTGATGTATTTTAAAAACTTGATGAAACCGTCAGCGTGGATGATTATGTCGAAATCAATGACCACGAGCAGAATCACGAAGAACAAGGAGCTTTGATTGATGCAGAAGCCGAGCCTGCGAAAGTCGAGTGCGACGAAGATCAAGCGTGATAAAGAAGCACTAAAGTGCTGCCTGCTTTTGCATTCGTACTTCACACGCTTAGTAGAGGGAACGCGAGTCATACAGTAAAATTTGAATACGATGTCGCCGGTTATACTTAAGAACCGGCACGCTGAGGTGAAATAGCTAGACTATAAGGGACTTCAGATAGTAGAAAAATATTACATTTTTCATAATCGGCGGGTCACGCTTAAAAAATTCGAACACTTTTTCCTTTTCAGATTCTCTACAAGAGACTTCAATAAACACACGCTGTAAAAAATGGTGACAAAGTTGTCTTTTCTAAAGAGTGTAATTATACTACAAAAAAGCTTATGATAGTGGCCTGATGAATATTAGAGAAATTAAAAAAATATATACATACCTTCATGTTAGTGTCGGTTTCTTTCGACCACCCTTGAAACCAAGCACCAGTCATCAAGTCCTTCCTGACGTGCCTGTAGTAAAATTTATGCCGATCACCGAACTTGCGCTTGCAACAGCAAAAGTTTTTGATTTCTTGAATAAAAAAGGCTTGCGTTTTTCAGTACCATCCGCATTTGCCATGAAGACGATAGGCATCCATGCCTGTATTATAATAATAACTCAAATTTATCCAAACCTTCAAAGCTTAAAGGTTTTTTTAACAAGCATTGAATCAAAGCCGACCTTCTATTTCTTATACCCTTACATTAGCTGGCGTCGCAACTGTCTTCTCGGAGACCATGTTGTAAAAAAGGCCTAAAACTAACAAGTTAATTGTTCAACATTAAATTATGAGTTCTTAAATAAAGACATTCCAGTTTCGTCCATGTTATAAACATTTTGGGGCTCGTAGGGAGCAATTGCAGCACGAAATCTAGGTAATGCTGCATCCATGGATTCCTCATTTGAATAAAGCATTCTCTGCGTACAACCAAATGCTGCATATCTGATTTTCGCTTTTGGAAGCGTTGCAACTATTTACTGAAAAACTTGATGGGTCTCTGTAGTAATGTAGCGGAGCTACACAGCTCCTTAAGTCAGAGGAAGACTTAACGCCTAACAAGCAACTTTGGTTTAAAGAACTCGACCTCGAGAGACAACAAGCTCAAAGAGCTTACGGTCTCTGTTCCAGGGGGGGCCAAAGAATTCGAGAGAATCACAGCACATATTGCTCAAGAGCAGCTGCCTTTACAGGCGTTGCTACCTCTTACGATCAAGACGCCTAGTGAGCCACTTGTCTTTTGGATCAAAATGTGAACTGAACTTGATTTTTTTTATCTGAAAGAACACCTCAGAAGAACGAATTTAACTAAGTCACCACTGTTCGAATTATTACCTCCTAAAAGATCTCTTTATTCGGTGGATGACACACGTCAGCCCCTGACGATTGATACAGTGTTCGAATATCATTTTTAATGAGACTCCGTCCTTTGTGTACCACACATGTTATGTAAACTGTTACACACACCTGTAGTGTAACCCCGTTACAGGTTGGTCAAGTCGTTCAGAATACACCTTGGCCTTGACCTCAATAATTTCTCCAGTTAGAGAAACATTCTGGTCTAACATTGAACGACCTATGGTGACAAAGCTTCCTCCGCCTTCTACTTCTGAGCGACGCGAGGGCATTTGGCGGGAGTTCGGTACTTGTTATAGAATACAGGTCTGTGTGCTTCTTGAGTATAATTGTAACGGGGTAGCCCGTTACATGAAATTGTCATTAAGAACAAATTGACAATAAAGAATATTACGTCGAATATTACTTTAACAATATCACATACATGGTGATATTGTTGAGATGACCGAAGAGTCAACTCATTGGTTGATATCGTGATGATATCAACCCACCAATCGCTGCTAGACGCGTGCAATGGGTGGTAAGTAGACGTCATCATACATTTAGTTACATTAATATAATAAAGTCAGGACAACAGAGATTCAAGAAGTTAAAGGACTTAATTATATTAATACAGTTTTACTTTTACCAGAGACTAGTCTGAATACTTAGTCTCCTTTCCTTCCTCTGTGTTCCTTCAACACCTAGCAGGGCACTGTCGACCATTGTTGTTAGTGGAAGTATACTCCGTACTGGTCAACCAGTACGCAGTCAACAGTGCCCCGTTACATAATAGAGATGGCAAATTGGGAGAGGTGAGCACCGAACTTGCCAATTTGCCAGGCTATTCTAATTCATTTCCGGTCTCTTGGCCTTGTGCTTTCAGATCTCGAGCCTTCGCGCATGGGTAGTGCGTGTTTGGGACATATTTCAATATGATTTAAGAGGTGATAACCGCTACTTTACTATTTTACATCCCACAAAAAAATCAATAATGCACGTAACTTATGAATCGGCTATATCAGAATTTGTCTTCACGAAGCATATGTGTTATCCGAGGAATTGGTGTACCCACAAAAATTCATTGAAGTGCCGCACAACGACATGTGTTTACGCGAGACAAAGCAAACCGGCTAGTAGCATGACATATGCGCTGAGATAATGAGCGGATTCCCATGCCAGCGCATCTGCAATGAGTGAAGAGCATTCTCGCTCCAGATGCTGTGGCGCATCCCTGTCCGTACGCATTCTTTTGCCATCATCTGGCCGCAAGACGACTGGCAGTGTTCAGCAACGATGGACAAGAGATTGCATAACTATCACTGACATTCGGTTGAGCGACATTTGTCTGTAGGGTCGAGACGAACAAACGGAACCGTCTTCTGCTTTGGTTGTGAACGTCTTATCATCGGCGACGATCGTGCAGCTGCGATCGCAGATAAACGCAGTCTCGAGTCGAGTGGCTCAAGTTTGATCAAAACGCCCTGCTTGCAGTCGTATAGAAAAGAGTCCTAGGTCGTGTTACCTTGATACAATGTCCTGTGAGCTGCTGCGAGTATGCTGCACACTACGTAGTGAGTATGTTCGTGGCTGCCGTTGCAAATGTGCTCACTATGGAAGAGTGTCTCGGTCATGACAAGCAGAGGCTAAAGAAAATGTCTGCAAAGCAATCATGAATTCATCAGCGTCAGAGATCGAGGCGCTAGATCTTCGATGTCATGTTAGCTTGAAGATGGCATGTGGCGTAGGGCGGTTTCGATATGAGTTTGTTCAGCGACTACGATTGTAAAGCATGTCAACTGCACATTGCAGCAAATTCCGCTCTATAGGATGGATCGCACACTGACCAGCACGGCAGAAGCCATGAGCGTTCCCACGCTACCCGTCATGGCATGATTGACACGTGCGCCATATTGAATAAATAGGTGTCGCTTACTCTCGGCTGTGCGAACACCTGCCGTCAAGAGTTCGGTCACATTTGCAGGTCTGTCTGTTCTCTTCCAGTTGGTAAGGTCCTCAGTGAATGCTCGAGATTACGGCGACCAAAGTGGTTCTCACGATGCTACTGTAAACAGCAGCTGCAGGCTGCGACATTCACGCAAATGGAGGTCACGGACGTTAGTATACAAGCACATGGATCTGCTGCTGGTCTTGGGCACTCATGTCACTCGTCAGCTCGACGAAATACGCGCTCGTGCGACAGCTGGACCTCGATACGCTCTGTGCATCGCCAGCTCGCCGTTTTCATAGCGTTGTCTCTCTGGTGTGTAGTGTCGGACGCATGTGAGATAAAAGACTCGAGCGACCACATGACGGGAGTGTGTTGACCATCATAGAGAACACAATATTTTCCATTAGCCAAGATAGAGAAGGGCGCAAGAAATATGCGTATTCTGCTGAGTGATCAACAAGGCGGTACTCCCTTTCATTGACGCATGTAATCGATTCTGTACGAGAGGCAGAAGCTCAAACGCAGTCGTAAAAGATAGAGTTCGTTAGGTGAGCACCATATGGGATAGATAGCCCATCCAGATTCAGACGAACAGGCTCGAGTCCCAGATCCACGCGTGCACGTATGTGCACCTGCGACACTCTCGTTGGCCTCTTCCTGGAAGAGGCGGGTCGAGTTCCCGCATATCTCAACAATCAGTATGATGCGTCTTTACGTTCCGAGCAGTCGGGAATTGCAAGCTGCCGTCACGCCGAAATGGGCATCGGCAATACTGGATACCGAAGCTTTCGAGAAACGACCATTGGGCCCACGTGACAAGCAGACGTTCGTTGACTGTATCTGAACCCACAATGTCCTTTCCTAAGCTCGTCCGTACGTGGTTGCCGCGTTTGTCTCGCGAGGTACGGAAGTCATACACCCGATGGGACACTCGCTTACAATTGCTCGATCGATTCGTGTAACGTCAATTGTCTAGTTTGCGGCTTGAGAGTCTCGCCCGCTTTTGTGTGCTAGTGATCCTCCTCATTTCTCAATTACCTGCTGGAAGAAACAACACCTCTCGTGCCCTCCATGCGAGTCGCTCTTTCGTCTGCCTTTGCTCTGCTAGGGCTCTTCCAACTCGGGGCTTCCTCAAAGAGTGAACACGATCTGACTGCACCGACCGATGCTCCGTCCGTGCGACTCCACGTCACCATGAAGAGAGAAACGATGAGGTTCCACGGGACGTTGTCCTATGATGTCTACGCTACTCCAGTCATGTCGGCTAATGGCACGAATGTCCTCTACGACGGATACGCCACTTTTCACGACAAGGGGTCCGAGGTCACCTACACGCTCGCAAACGGCGTTGCTTACCTCACGACCAAAGGTGCAAGTGGCATCGAGACCGTGGAATGTCTCTCGCACGATGCACTACCATTCAGCGAGATCTTGCCGGCGTTGAATGCGGTATCTCGGATTCCGGGTGCATCGATTGGCGAGGAAGCGGTCAAGTGTCCGAGTGGCACATTGTTCAGAACCTCATTCGCCGGAACACAGTACGCCGTCTGTGTGTCTGGTCAGGCCGGCTTCACGGCGTTCAGCAGTGACTTGGACATCGTGGTCGAGTATCTCGATCGACAAGAACGTTTTCCGGCACCAAAGCTGACCGATGGAAAGAGCTCGTGCACACCTGTTGCCCAAGCGACGCCAATGACGTCGACAGCGTTAGCTTTGATGCGGGGGCGCGAATTGCCGTCAAGTGGGACGAGAATGCTGAAGGAAGCGTCTCACATGGCGATGCAGGCGACCAAGTGTCAACCTACGTCGGAACCTCGCCCTTGCATTTTCTTTCACGGTCTGGGCAGCCCGAAAGAAGCGCCCGAGTTGCAGAACACGACAGCTATGATCCCAGACATGCTCGGCGACATGAATGGCCACGCCCCGTTTTGCTCAACGATCAAGTATGCCATAATCAACACCGACGATGTTGGATGGAGGAACGACGCGTTGCAACGGAAATTCTGCAAGTTTGCTCTCTCCATGAGCGCTACGAGCGACGTGACCGCAGGAATGATCGACAGTACGATTATTGTGACACACTCGATGGGCGGTCTCGTGATGGCTACTGCATTAGCAACGGGGAAGTGCAAATTTTCACCCACAACATCGTGGGTAGCGCTCAGTCCTCCCATGGGTGGCAGCATGGCTTCGGATTTCATGATGGGTGTCTGCGAAAAAGACGGAACGGTCGCGGAGAATCTTTTTGCCTTGATCGGTCATTGTCCAATGGTACCTTCCCGCAAATCCACCATCTACCAAGGCGAGAAGTACAGCACTCCATTAACGAACAAGGCGTACGTTGCAGCGCAGAAAGCGTACCGTGACAACGTGGCAGCTGCAATGTGCAGTGACAGCTTTCTCGGCCTTGCTTCCGAGTGGCAAATCCGATCTGCCCTTACAGGCAGAATCTTGCCTCACAAGTCCTTGAAGAACGACGGCCTCGTCGAGTACAAGAGCTGTACGGCCGGGTTAGACGATGCCAAGTTCGGGAACCACTACCGCGATCGATTCTACAGACCGCAGCTGAATCACGCAGACACCGCGTTCTTGACGGGCGATGGGGTATTCAAGAACTCACAAAAGCCATTGAAATGGTTCCAATGTCTAGAACTTTAGCTTGGCTAAAGCGACGTGATGACCGACGTAGGCGAATGACACATACACAACACTTAGTTTGCTGAGCTTGTTAGTAAGTGTCAAACTGTTTCGAGAATGTGCCGGAGAACGAATGTGTTTTGTTGTGCTTTTTGGTTTGTGATGGCTAAGCTTTACATGAAAGTGGATGCAAATATAGGAATGCAACGCAAGCTGCAATCAAGAACATTGCTTCGTTTCGCCAAGTCTCCCTCATGAGTTTGTTTAGTCTGTATTGTAAGCGTACGTACATTCCCACATCAAGTCATCCAGGGTCATCGTTACGTGTAGATTCTTATTGCACATACCGTAGCACTACAATTGCCGCGAACTATCCTGACACCAAAAGAACTATAGACAGTTTACCAGTGTCCGCGAAGAGCTAGTGTGTTGATACGTATTGTAACGGGGTAACACGTCGACTGGTAGTCGACAATAGGTGTGGTACACACAAGGGATGGGACCCCCTTTAAAGTAATATTAGAACACAAGTATCAATTGTTGAATACTGATGTCTGTCAACCATTGATTACAAGATCTTTTAATAGGTTTATTTAGGACATTAGTGAGTAGGATAATTACTTTGTTCTAAGGTGTTCTTTTAGGTTAAAAGAAGAAATAAAATTCAGTTCCCATTTTGATCCAAA